ATATAAAATAAAAAATTAAAACTTACCATTTATTAAAAAAAAAACTAAAAATAGGTTGTTGACTTATTTGAAAAGCTAGACTTTATTTTCCTTCGTCAGCTTGGTCAGGACGCGTATTGAACGCGGTGGAATGAGAAATCTTAAGATCGAAGGCCGAAATCAAAGACGGTATAATAGCATGCACACGTACGTTAACGCGCGTGGATAGCGATAGATGAGCTGATCAGGCCCGTATTGCTTCACATTCTACCATATAGATTGGTTGTAACTTGTACGCACACTCTCTTTTCAATTGTTCTGTCCATTTCCCTCTACAATACATGAAGAAATCTTATTGCTTACTGATTTATATTAACTCTCATCTTTATCTGATAAATAACAAATAAACAGATCCTGGAAAACTTCAAAACTGTTTTTTTTTTTTTTTTTCTAAAATCAGTGCGGAGGATTGGGAATGGCTGCTTCACAATCCAATGTTTTTAAGTTCACCCATCAGAAGTGGATTCAACACTAAAACTTCACACATGAGAATCAACATCCTTATGACCACGTGACAATAAAAAAATATTCCCAAAATAAACACCAACGTACCAAATTACAGCTAATTATTTTTTAATTAATTTTAAAAAATCACAGCCACTCGATGTTTGCTTTTTCTCGAAAAGCTATACTTTATTTTCTTTTGCCAGCTTGGTTAGGACGTGTAGACAACGCCGTGGAAATGAGGAATCTTAAGATCGAAAGCCGAAATCAAAGGAAATATAATAGCATGCACACCCACGTCGGATAGCGATAGATCGATGAGCTGATGTGGCCGTTATTGTTGTTTTAGATTAGATAGGTCAAATTTTATTAATTGTGTTGTAAACAATATTTCAATTATGATTTAGTATTTGATAGTGATATAATTAAGGCAGTTTGAATTTTTTTAGTAATGGGATAATGAGTTATGAAAGAGTATACTATCTTTTTGTTATGCATATTAAGAGTTTGATTAATAATCTTTGTCTCAATAATGATTTGTCTCAATAATCAGCCACGCGTCATTCTAAGGCTG